CTTTCCCTAGCAGTTTCTCCCCTCTAGGAGCAGAGCACCGGGGTGCTCTGCGACACACTGCATGACAGTTGAGTGGATGACACTGCAAGCTTGCAGATTTAGTGCTGGAAATATTATGTGGGTACCTGCCAAGGCTAGTAAAATAGTTGTCTCTGCTTTTATAGTTTGGCATTTGGGTTGTCATTTATCTCTTCTCTTCTCTAGCTTTAGTCCTACTTGTGTTCTGAAAGATGTTGAGGATTATCACTGCGATGCTTGTCTCACTGGATATGAAGGGCAGTACTGTGAAAGGTGAGATTGCATTCCCCATCTGGGAAATTTTTCATTAGAACTGTACATATCTGCACCTTGAATGGAGTATTCAGTTGTCATAATGTTTTTACAGTAGCTGGAGTGTCATAGAGTGATTTGTGGCTGACTGTATAAATTATTAATGTTAATTTATTAATGCTCTTCAAACATCTATATCAGCTAGTAATAAAAAAGTTTCTTTTTCAGTTTTTTCTGCTAATAGATATCAAAATAATGTGCAGTGTCTCTTTTTTTCCTCTTCAGGTGTTCTCTAGGTTATTATGGAGATCCTGAAGCACCTGGTGGCAGCTGTCAGCAGTGTCAGTGCAATCCAGATGGTTCTGTCGACAATAATTGTGATCGTATAACTGGAAAGTGCATCTGCAAGCAGGGTGTGGCAGGACAACTCTGTGATGAATGTGAACCAAGACACATCCTTGTGGAAAATGAATGTCTTTGTAGGTGGCTTTTCTTTGTTTCTTCCCAATAACTTTAGCTGCAGTCAGGTGGTATGTATAGAAGTGTAGTTTTCTGAGGTGTTTAAGCCAATTGTTTCTATTGTTAAGCTACTGCAGGATTTTATTTTTTGTGCTGTTGATTTTTAACACTGTGAACAACAAGTAAAACACTAGTATCTGTTACATAGAATGCATGTTATTTAAATGAGAAAGTAATAATACAGAACAACATCCAGGTAAGTGATCTTTAACCTATCTTGTACTATGTGACAGATGAGCTTAAGGTTGTGTTTGTTAGTCTGTAATATCTTTCCATTATGCAACTCCAAGACTTTTCTTATGTAAGCATTTGTATTCATACAATATTCATATGCAGACCTTGCATATTGCTGAAATAGTTCCATTGGAGTTGTCTTGGTCATTTGGGTTCCCTTTAGTGGCTGGTAGCAAAACAAATTATGCAGCTTATGGTACCATACTTTTACAGTGAACTGCTAATTGTGAACTAGATTTTACTTGGCTTTTATGTGAATGGGCCTGGGAAAGGTCAGTGCAGTTACACTAGCATAGAATCTATTTCAGTTGGCCCAACTCTACTGCCATGCCAGTGCAATCACATCCAGTTCAATGGTATTATTTTGTATTGTCACCAATGTAACCTACAGGATCAAACCTGTCAGACGCGCACTGATGGTAAACTGGCATAAGTATGATCAAAGTCAGTCCCTACATTGTTAAAAACATGATACAAAATGTACAATATTGTATGCAATCGCTGTTGTTTGTAGACCTACGTTCCATGCAAAGTAAATGTTTGTCGTATGCCAATCCAAATATTTTGTTTCTTTTCAATGAATGCCTTGTTTTACTAATATTTTTTTCGATGGTTTCTTCAGCATGCGATGATGACTGTACAGGTGTCTTATTAGATGACTTGGTTAACCTTGACAAAGCTATATTTTCAGTGAATCTCACTGATGTTGTCCTTGCCCCATATGGGAAATTATCAGAGTTGGAGAATACAACAAAACAATTCAAGGTGATGTATAAACACACAAATTTAATGATGCTCCAAATTCAAAACTTTGGCTGATTTTTGATATCACTCATGTATTTCAGTAGTATCACTCTTGATTTTTAATGGCTTTAGAATTGTGCATGGCATTCTGTTCCAAAGAGCTTAAATTCTAATTCTCCCTTAAAGAACAGTGGACTTGTTTTCTTGCTCTGGCCTATTTATGATTGCACTTTAGTTCTGAAAGAAATTCTGTGATGCCCTTAAGGAGCTGTCACAGAAGCTGATAAAAATGCGTGGGCACATATAGAAATATTAATTGTTACTACATATTAGCAAAATGGGGTGCAGCCTTTTAGAGATTAGGATTTGAATTTTGCGAAGAGATGCTGGAGAAAAGCATAACGGGATTGGTTCACTGCTACATTTGCATAGTTGCCCTGCTCCTATTCTGGTCTTGTCCCTTGAGTCTTATGCCTTTCTTCTATTGCTTACTTAGCCTGTACCTATATGTTTGGGGCTGAATTTGACTCTCTAAAATCTGTACTAAGAACCAGTTATTCCAGAGGCAGGCAGCCTAACTATCTAGTTAAGGGAGAGCTCAACAGTTGCGATTTAACTTGCTTACATAGCATTTCAGAGTGTTGTGGTTCATATAGTCACATGCTTGGAATATCACTGCTTTGTGAACTGCATCACAATACTAGAGGGGCACTTGCTATCACTGAAGATTAAGTTCATATGGCTGGGTCTCCCTGCTTGCACAAAGGCAAAGTTAAACAGAATTTTTCATGGTTTGTGGTTGCTAAAATAAGCATGGATAGTGGAAAGCTCCTACTCAGCAATAACTGAAGTGAGACATGGTCTAAACTGTATGTAAAAACTACATGTTTCTTTGAGGGTTTTTCCTTTGAGCACCTAAAATATAATTTTATATATATTGTTTACAACATGGGGGGGATCACCTTATTCGCCTCTCTACTAGCTCAGAATTCATTTTAACCTCCCATTTTAATCATGCTTTATTTTTTTACCTAATATATCCAAATAGTACATTATGTTAATGTTAAAGCTTATGTAATTACATAATTAGTTTGTATTTGATAATGTTTGTGTTCTTGTAAGAAAATCAACTTTTGGCATATACATTTTAAAAGTATATTTAGCACTTTCCTGCTAAAATGAAGCCAGGTTTTATGCAAGAATTACATCAGTATCACTTTCCCCTTCACATATTTTAGAACATAAATCAAATTATGTAGACTAGTTGTCAGTGTGTTGATAAATGTTTAAGGAATGCCAGAAGCTTGTGGGAAAACTCGATGAGATTGTTGTCCCAGTGGGCAGGTTTAAATGTTATGACTAGCAGATAGCTAGCCCTATTTGTGCTATGTCAAAAAATGAAACTGATATTTGCAGAAAAATCATTTGATAACTTTATGAAAAATAATGGTAGCAATTACTTATCTTTCTCTTTGTCTGGAATCAGACCTGTGTCTGCCATTCTTCCTCTGGCCAATTTAAAAACTCCCCTCCTTCTGGGATATACAAAAATAAGTCACAGAAAAGCCTAGAGAAAACTCTTCCATCTAGTCACAAAAAACTCTTCCATCCAATCTGTCTCACTGGACCTTGGTCATTCCTTGAAGAGTTTTAAGTTTTCTCTCCTTTCGTTGCCTTTTTCTGGCTTAGAGTCGGGGAGAGTAGATCTTACTTTTTCATATGGGACAGTCCTGGGGCTCTCAACAATCAGGTTTCTCCACCAGCTCTCACTTGCTTCTTTCTCATCAAGGCTAAATTTCTTCTGCTCTGTTACATTTCCATAATTCTCTTTCTGGATGTGGATGTCTCTGTAGCTAAAACATCGCTCCTACTTCAGCTTATTTACCCAGCCGCGTTGCCATACGATTATCTATTTTTAAGCTTCCACTATGGTCTTTTTTGGCCTTTTCTGAAGGCCTTCCTGGGCTTGGCTTGAAGAGATTCAAAGCTCAGCCCTCTGCCATGCACTCTCTTTCTGAACATCAAAGCAGAATTGCCCCTTCTCTGGCCTTTCCCTGTGTAGAGAGAAAAGATTCTCAGATCCCCCTGACATGCCACCTCAGCATTCTTTACTATACCCATCAGCTTGGGAACTACGTCCCTGAAACTTGACTTAGGACTGCGCTGAGCCTGTGCTATGTTAAAAAGGGTCACTATGTCCTGTTAAGAACACCAGAGTACCTTATGTCTTGCCAGTTGCCATTTTTTGTGATTCTAGCTACAAAACAATTTACTGTAGAGTCTTATAGAACACTTACTTGGAATTATAGGTGAAAAGGATTTAGGATGGGTTATAAGGGATTCTCTAATACATGTCTAGAATTCAATGCAGGATCTGCCCAGGTACGAATTTTTTCCTTATAAGGAATGTAATGACCAGGGATGTTATGACATTTCACACCTCTAAATATTTTTAAAAGAGCAGTGTCTTGTTTGAGCCCTGAACTGAAGAGCCTGCTTGTGATTAGTCTTTGCATTCGTGTATAGAAAATAGACTAGTATGTATGGGATTTCAGGCAGAGCAAGTAAGTATTTTATCTCTCCATGTTCTCAGCCCAAGTGAAAAGGTATGAGTTAGTTCTAATATCGACCTTTATTCTAGTATGAATTTTTAACTTTTTTGGACAGAAATAGTTTTGGAAGCTCCAACTTGGGTAGTGCTGGACCCAAACTTCAGAATCCTCAAAACCTTATGGAATTGCGCGATCAAATTTTGTCTCTAGTTATAAGTAGAAAGTAGCATGTTGATGTTGGAAGTGTACAACACTTCAGAGTGTCTGTGGCCTGTAAGTGGCAAGGACCAAGAACTAGATTCTGACTCCCTGGACACGCCTTTATGGTGCCATTGTTACTGCGCCATGCCAGTGGTGCACAGTTATTTTTAGCCACTACATCACCATAGCAATGCACTATAGCAGGGGAGTGTGTTGCTATGGTGATGTAGCTGCAGCGTCACGGTTTTTGCCCGCTGATGCTACATCGCTGTAGTGCGTTGCTATAGCAATGTAGTGTCTTGTGTAGACATGCCTCCTGCTCCACAACCTTTTATACATCTGAGCTGTGAAGGTGATTGAGACCTGCCTTAAAACTGAAAAAAATGGCTAGGTGATATAAATTATCCCAAGCATAATGAGCATTTCTGAGTGGACAAGTAGCATGACCAGAGGTACGCCGTATTCCAATCATCATAGAATCATAGAAAATTAGGATTAGAAGGGACATCAGGAGGTCATCTAGTCCAACCCCCTACACAAAATAGTTCCATCCCCAACTATATCATCCCAGCCAAGACTTTGTCCAGTTGGGTCTTAAACCCCCAAAGATGGAGATTTGACAGCCTCTCTGGGTAGATTGTTCCCTCCTAGTGACAAAGTTTTTCTTAATATCTAACCTATGCTTCCCTGGCTGCAACTTGAGACCATTGCTCCTTGTTCTACCATCTACCACCACTGAGAACAGTCTAGCTCCATCCTCTTTGGAACCACCCTTCATGTAGTTGAAGGCTGCTATTAAATTCCCTCTGTCTTCTCTACTCCAGACTAAATAAACCCAATTCCCTCAGCCTCTTCTCATAGGTCATTTGCTCTAGCCCCCGACCGTTTTCGTCGCTCTCTGCTAGACTACCTCCAATGTACCCACATCCTTCCTGTAGTAGGGAGCCCAAAACTGGGCACAGTACTCCAGATGTTGCCTCACCAATGCCAAATAGAGGGGAATAATTACTTCCTTTCATCTTCTGACAACACTCTTATTAATGCAGCCCAGTATATATTTTCATAGATTTCATAGACATTAGGGCTGGAAGGGACCTCAGAAGATCATCAAGTCCAGCCCCCCTGCCCGAGGGGCAGAAAGTCAGCTGGGGTCATAGGATCCTAGCAAGATAAGCATCCAACCTTCTCTTGAAGGCGTTCAGTGTAGGTGCTTGAATCACCTCCATTGGCAGCCTATTCCAGACCTTGGGGGCTTTGACAGTGAAGAAATTCCTTATGTCCTTATGTCTTCCTTATGTCCATCCTGAAACAGTCTTGCAGGAGTTTATAACCATTCAACCTTGTCATCCCTTGGGGCGCTCTGGTGAACAAACGTTGCCCCGGATCCTGGTGAACACCCCTGATAAACTTATAGGTGGCCACCAGATCACTCCTGAGCCTGTGCTTTTCCTGGCTGAAGAGTCCCATAGCTCTCAGCCTGTCATCGTAAGGTCTGTTTTCCTGACCTCTGATCATGTGCGTGGCTCTTCTCTGGACTCTTCTCAAGCTTCTCCACATCCTTTCTGAATTGAGGAGCCCAGAACTGGACGCAGTACTCCAGCTGCAGCTCCACCAAGGCTGAGTACAGGGGGAGAATGATGTCCTGGGATTTGCTTGAGAAGCATCTGGATGCACGCCAGCGTTTTGCTCGCTTTACTAGCCACAGCATCACACATTGAAGGCTCATATTCATCTTGTGGTCAATCATGACCCCCAAGTCCCTTTCATCCGTAGTGCTAACCAGCGTAGCACTGCTGAGACTATAAGGATGCTGCAGGTTTTTCCTCCCAAGATGGAGAACCTTGCATTTTTCATTGTTAAACACCATCAGGTTCTCATCCGCCTATTTCCTGAGCCTGTCCGCAGGTGTGGATGCTTTACCCCAGAATTTGGCCAGTCCACTTCTGACTCCAATGTCCACATCATTAATGAAGGTGTTGAACAATATAGGTCCAAGGACAGAGACTTGGGGGACCCCACTGGTCGCAGGGCACCATGATGGTTGACTTCCGTCAACCACCACCCTCTGGGTCCGACCACGGAGCTAATTCCCCAGCCAGCAGATCGTGGTGGACCCAAGGCTGCGGTTGGCCAGTTTTGCCAAGAGGTGATCGTGGGATACCAGATTGAAGGCTTTTTTGAAGTCAAGATATATGACGTCAATCTCCTCTCCCTTGTCCAGGTGATAGATCACCTGGTCATAGAAGGGAATAAGATTGTTCAAGCAAGACCTGCCCACAACAAACCCATACTGGCTATCCCTCAGGATGTTGCTGTCGGCCAGTCTGTTAAGAAAGGCCTCTAATAATCTTTTCTAAGACGTTCCCCGGGATAGAGGTCAAGCTGATGGGCCTGTAGTATGTTGGATCCACTTTCCTCACTTTCTTGAAGATAGGCACCACATTGGCCTTCTTCCAATCTTCAGGCACTTCACCAGAGCACCAGGAGTTCTTGAAGATATGTGCCAGAGACTGGACTATGATGCTTGCCAGCTCCTTGAGTACCCTGGGGTGTAGATTGTCAGGGCCGGCTGACTTGAAGGTATCCAGCCTCTCGAGGTGTTCCTTCATGAGGTCAACATTGATGGAGGGCAGTAATGGGCATGGGCGTCCCATGGGACTGTTGAAAAACTGATGCAAAGTACCCATTTAACAAGGTTGTTTTTTCCTGGATTTCAGTCGTCAGTTGTCTCATCCCGTTTAGCAGGGGACCAGTGTTGCCTTTACTTTTCCTCTGGCTCCCCACATATCTAAAAAAGGATTTATTGTCCTTGATACTTGTAGCTAATTGGAGTTCTGTCGCAGCCTTGGCTTTCCTGGTTCTCTCCCTGCAGGTCCGGACCAGTGCAGAGTATTCCTCCTTGGATGTGGATCCAATCCTCCATCCTTTGTAGGTCTTTCTTTTTAGATGCAGGAGGTCCACTAGTTCCCTGGAGAGCCAAGGGGGCTGCTGTGCTCTTTTGCTGCCTTTTCTCTGAGATGGAATAGCATTAGCTTGTGCATTGAGGATCGCTTCCTTGAGGAGCAGCCACTCTTCCTGAACTCCCCTCCCCTTGGGGTTGTGATCCCTTAGGGCCTCACCAACAAGCCTCCTGAGCTTGTCAGAGTCAGCTTTCCTGAAGTCAAGGACTTCTATATTGCTGACTGACTTGCCAGCTTTATGGTGGATGGTGAAGGTGATACGCTCATGATCACTGTCACTCAGCTTCCCTTCGATTATTAGGTCACTGATTACGTCGTCCCCAATTGCCAGTACCAGGTCAAGCAGCGCTTTACGTCTCGTTGGCCCATAGACCTCTTGTATCAGGTAGAGGTCATCCATGCACGAAAGGAAGCTTTGCGACCGCTCGGATTTAGCTGAGCACTCTTTGTACGAGATGTCTGGGTAGTTGAATTCTTCCATGACAACCATGGACCTGGAGCATGCGGCCTCAGCCAATTCCCTGGCGAATGCCTGGTCAAGCTCTTGGCTTTGGGTGGAAGTTCTGTAGTAGACTCCCACCATCGTGTCCCCTGTGCCCTGTTCCCCCCGGATTTTAACCCAGAGGGTCTCCACTCGTCCACCCTGGTCACAAATATCAGCTTGCAGGGACGCGTAGCTCTCCTTGACATAGAGATCTACGCCCCTGCCCCTTTTGTTATTCAATCTCTCCTGCACAGGGTATAGCCATTTATACCCATGGTCCAGTCATGGGTGGAGTCCCACCAGGTCTCCGTTATCCCTATGACATTGTAATAATTTGCGGTAAGCAGGAGGACAAGTTCCTCCTACTTATTCCCCAAGCTCCTGGCATTTCTGTACAGGCATGCAAGTGTCCCCTTGGGGGCCCTTGCCTTGCCCACAGATCGTTTCAAGGCTGGGACAGGGGGCTCCTTAGAGTGCCATCAGTGGTCCAGCAGTGGCTGTAGCCCCCCCATCCCCCGGCAGGCTTAGTTTAAAGCCCGATGGAGCAGGTCACCCAGTCTGGCTGAGAAGAGCCTCCTCCCCAGTGGAGAGAGGTGGAGGCTGTCCCTTCCCAGCAGCTCATTGCCTCTCTCACCATGACTGTGATCATGGAAGCCAAAGCCTTCCCGATGACGCCAGCGCCGCAGTCTTTGGTTAACTATCTGTATCCTCCTCTCCCTCCTCAGCCTGTAGCCCAGGACTGAGAGGATCAAAGAAAACACCACCTGTGCCCCCAGACCCTTTAGCCCTGCTCCCAAATCCCTGTAGCGCCTCATGACCCGGCTGGGAGCGCTCTGAGCTGTGTCATTGGTGCCCACATGGATAAGGAACATGGGATAGTGGTCTGGAGGAGCTTAGGGATCTTCTCCGCAATGTCTCAGATGTGGGCTCCTGGGAAGCAGCAGACTTCCCGGGCTAAGGGGTCAGGGTGGCAGATTACCCCCTCAGTCCCCCTCAGGATGGAGTCTCCCACAACAAACACTTCGTATTTTGTCTTGGGGAGAGCGGGGGCGCTAGCTACAGTAGCGCCTGTGTTGCCTGCGGGAGCTGGCAACTCAGCAGGCTCTGCTGGGGCTGCAAGAGGTTCGTACCAGTTGCATAGCTTCAGCAGGGCAGGGGGCTTGGTGCGGCGGGCCTTGGGGCCCTTGATCACCTTGGTCCATCCCCTTGGCTGGACAGAATGAGAGGTCCCCGAGTCCTCCCTTGTCTTGGAGGGAGACTGGTCTAACCTCCGTCTCCCAGGGGAGAAGGGCCTGGCAGTAGGAGTCTATCTCCTGCTCACAGTCCCTGATGGCACGCAGTCTCTGGACTGCGGCTTGAGCTCCTCCAGCTCCTCCAAAGAATATATTCTTTGCCTTCTACACAGCAAGGGCACAACACTGACTCATTCAGCTTATTGTTCAATATAACTCCCAGGTCCTTTTCTGCAGAGCTGCTGCTTAGCCAGTCAGTCCCCAGCTTGAACAGGTGCATGGGATTGTTCCATCCTAAGCGCAGAACTTTTGCACTTGTCCTTACTGAATTTCATGAGATTTCATTTGATCCAGTCCTCCAGTTTGTTGAGGTCTCGCTGAATCCTAGCTCTACCCTCCAGCATATCTACAACTCCCTCAGCTTTATGTCATCTGCAAACCTACTGAGGGTGTACTCCATCCCATCTTCCAGATCATTGATGATGATGTTGAACAAACTGACCCCTGGGGCACTTTACTTGATACTGGCTGCCAACTACACATCGAGTCATTGATTACTACCCTCTGAGCCAGACGATCTAACCAGTTCTCTATCCACCTCACAGTCCCTTCATCCAACCCATACATACTTCCTTAGCTTGCGAGAATGTTGTGTGTGACCATCTCAAAAAACTTGCTAAAGTCAAGGTATATCACATCCACTACTCTCCCCTTATCCACTGAGTAAGTTATCTCATCATAGAAGGCAATTAGGTTTGTTAGGCATGACTTGCTCTTGGCAAATCCATGCTGACTGTTTCTAATCACCTTCTTCTCCTCCAAGTGTTTAGAAATGGATTCCTTGAGGACCTGCTCCATTATTTTTCCAGGGATTGAGGTGAGGCTGACTGGTCTGTAGTTCCCCAGATCCTCCTTCTCTGTCTTAAAGATGTGCACCACTTTTGTCCTTTTCCAATTGTCTGGGACCTCTCGCAGTTGCCACAAGTTTTCAAAGATAATAGTCAGTGGCTCTACAGTTACATCAGCCAACTCCCTCAGCGCCATCAGGTGTATCACATGTGGCCCCATGGACTTATACACATCCAGCTTTTCTAAATAGTCCTGAACTTGTTCTCTCACCACTGCTGCCTGCTCACTCTTCCTCAAACTGTGCTGCCAGGTGCAGTAGTTTGGGAGTTGACCTTCCTGTGAAGACTGAGGTGAAAAAGGCATTGAGTACTTCAGCCTTTATCACATCATCTGTCACTAGGCTGCCTCCCTCATTCAGTAAGGGACCCACACTTTCCCTGATCTTCCTCTTGTTGCTTGTAGAAACCCTTTTTGTTACCCTTCAGGTCCCTTGCTAGCTGCAATACCAATTGCACTTCAGCCTTCTTGATTTCATCCCTTCAAGCCCGTGCAATACTTCCTAGTTGTTTATCCAAGTTTCCAGTTCTTATAAGCTTCCTTTTTGTGTTTTTAGCTCATTGAAGAGTTCTCATTGACTTGTCTTCCAGGGGATCCTTCCCATCAGTTCCCTGAGTGAGTTACAGTCTACTTTTCTGAAGTCCAGGGTCTGTACTCTGCTACTCTCCTTCCTTTCTTTCCTCAGGATTCTGAACTCAATGATCAGGTGCCAGCAAGTAGTCCCAGGGGATAATGTTAGGCATCATAGTTTAGAGGCATCTTTAGGCTGCTCCGAAGAGACCAGCTAACCCTTGATCAGGCTAAAGTAACAAAGAAGTGGGTGATGTAGAACCATCTTCCTCTATCACACACAGTCAGTAGAGTCCTCTGGTCCTTTATCATGCTCAGTTGGCTGGTTCGAGAGATTTGACACCTAATTGCACCAAGAGTACTTGTGAGATCAGCTGATATCATCTCAGATTTTTTGATTTACACGTGTAAAATCAGGCATTTGAACATAGTAATATTAATAAACTTATATTACCTAAAATATACACTAAGTTTTTGTATTCAAAATGTTCTGGTTACAGAAACAGTGGCTTCATGAAATCTGTGCTAAAAATTATACATTAAATATTAATCTGTTATTCCTTACAGCGGGTTTTATTACCTAGAGAAGATCCACTTCATTCAATACAGACAGCAAAAGAACATCTGATGAGTATACCGGGACGCACTGATCAACTGCAAAAGGAGGCAAGTACTCTATGTTTTGATTTCAAGTTACAGTGATATTTGAGGAACCTTTTATGGAAAAGTCTTAGGCCTTACAGTATTCAATGGGGGTGAAGAGAGAGTTGTTTAGAAATTACTGTAAAAACCTATAACATTTAATAGAGGCATTTTTTTGAGTTATTCTGTAAAATTCTGCAGCAGAGGTATAGCATTCTACTACAGAATGGTTAAAAACATACAAAAGGTCTTCTCTAGTATGTTTTAGAAAACTTTAATTTTTAACTATTTTAAGGATTCATATTTCAAGTAAGGGAAATATTTTCTTCTTACTAGTTCTGGCAACCTTTTTGTCATTTATGGATGTTTGCCAGGTGTGCCTACCCTTTAACTACATCCACTGTTGTTTTTTTTTACAAAATAATTTAAGTGAGCAGACTACAAATGAATAAGCAAAGCATTTTTTATTTAGTCTTCACTCAGGTAAAGGTCCTACTGAGGTTACAGGGGACATGTCTACATGTGAGCTTAAATGCATATTAGCCTATTTTAATGCACATTAAAGCATCACTAAAATGTGCTATTTAGTTAATGCTCATTGAAATAGACTAATATGCATTAAGTGTCACTAAAACTGTGCTCTTTAGTTAATGCTCATTAAGATAGGCTAATGCGCATTTTCGTAGTACCTCACAATGGAGGGTGCCTGTACATAAGCCAGACAGTTGCTTTGATGTGCTGTAATTAATTGAGTCTGCTGGAGTGTGGTAATTACTGCGCTGCAGCCAGCCTCCATGTCTTGTGTATCACTGTCCCCATACTTCAAAATGGCAGCGGGGCGCTTTAACTAAAGCTTGTTTGAGCTTTAGCTAAAGTACCCCCACTGACATTTTGAAATGCGGGGATGCTGATATACAAGATGTTCCAGGCGCTTTAATTAGAGCGG